TCGACCTTCTTGGGCAGCAGCTGGGCCTGGTCGTCGCCGTGGCCCAGCGCGCCCCATACTCCATCGCCCCAGCTCCACACAGCGCCGTCGGCCGTGATGACGAAGCTGTGGTCGCCTCCAGCCGACACAGCGACGACGCGCTGGCCAGCAAAGGCCTCGACCTTCTTGGGCAGCCGCTGGTGGTGCTGGTCGCCGTGGCCCAACCGGCCGTAGACTCCATTGCCCCAGCTCCACACAGCGCCGTCGGCGGTGACGGCGAGGCTGTGGTCGCGTCCAGCCGAGACAGCGACGACGCCACCCGCCAAGGCCTCGATCTTCTTTGGCTGCCACTGGTGCTGCTCGTCGCCGTGGCCCAGCTGGCCAGAGCTGCCGCTGCCCCAGCTCCAGACCTCTCCGCCGGCGGTGAGGGCGAGGCTGTGTGCGGCTCCAGCCGACACACTCATGGCACGGAGAGAAGACGGGAGGCGGGTCGGTGTGTTGAGCCGCGTCACGCCCTCGCCGTGGCCCAGTAGCTCTTGCATGTAGGACGAGTCAGAGCCGCACGACGAGAGCCGCCCCTCGCCGTCGATGAAGACGCTGTGCTGCTGGCCTGCCGCCGCCCTCGTCGGCAGGTTGGACTCGCATAGCAAGGCCGAATAACACAGCCACCTCACGGCGCAGCTCTCGCCCTCTGGCAGCGCCAGCAGCGCGAAGCCGCGCTCTTGCGCCCACAAGCGGATGCCATCAGCCGCGAGCGAGGCGTGGAAGAGGAGCGAGACGGCCGCGACGCGAGCGATGTCGAGGGGGCACTCGCAGCGAGAGAGGATGTGCTCGAGGAGCGCCGTGGGGAGGTCGAGGAGGCGGGCGGGCGGCGGCGTGTCTGGCGAGGGGGCGCGGGTGGCGGCGGAGGCGAGGCGGCGCGAGCGGCGGCGCGACAAGGCAGACATATGCGCGAGAAAAGAATTGCCTCGTCCAATCGATAGAAGCGCCGGATCGCCCATGTTAAGCGTTTACCAACTTGAGGTGACGTTCTTCTGTCCAGATTCCGTGGTTTTTGACGGTATTCGGATTTTCGCTATTTGGTCGTGTGGGTGTGATTCCGGGATTAGTCAATGGTACCGCGTCGGCGACGCGAGCGCCTTGCGGGCAGAGCCCTTAGCCACCCTTATGTCTTGCGCGGTCAAAAGAAATTTTCGCGCGCGAAAAAGAATTCGCGCGAAAAGCAACTGCCTCGCACACGAGCACTCAAAAATAAATCCATCACGTCCTCCTGACAAACCAACTTCCCCCACACACAATCGTCCACCCTACGCCGTACGACTGCGGCTCGGCCGCGCACGCCGTCAAACGCGTCAAGCAGCAGCTGCGACGCATGTCGGCCCGTTCGACCCCGCGTGCTCCAGAACCTTGACAATCCCCTCGGTGCCGTCGACCTATTCGCAATGCGTGGTGGCGCGAGCGGCGAAGCGCCACCAGGAGGGAGGGCGGGGGTTGGGGTGCCTCCACGAGCATGCCGTCCGCCGGCGTTTGCAACTGGGGTGGCAGCGAGAGGTGAGTCGTGACTGGCCTCGCCTGAAGCCACACGAGCCGCCGTTGCTCGTCGAGCGCGAACTCGGTGTCGACGGGATGGCCTGGTTGCGGTAACTGTAGTGAGCGTCGGGCTGGGGCCCGCACGGCCAAGAGGAAGAAGGGCGGAAAGAATTCTTAAGATACAAGCCTCTCTCACAGCACACTGGCACGACAAGGGCGCGGACTGGCGCGGACTGGCACACACACAGGCTCACCACCGGAGCCGCCTAAGCGACTCCGTTAAGAACGGCAATGCACTCCGCACCATGCACAATGCCGCTCTCCCCGCACGCTAGCTCGTTCACCGTCTGCCACGCCACGGCGGTGTGGAGGACGACAGACAAGCGCTGCATCTGCAGCCCGTGCCAGTTCTTGGTGGTCCATGTGACCTCGTCCAGGTGCTGAGCGTGCGAAAGTTTGGGCGGAAAGAATTCGCGGATGCGCCGTTTTTGATCTCGGTGCTCAATCCCGATGCTCCAGGCCTCCTGCATCACTCCCAAGCGAGGCCGTCTCTCCTAGCGAGGCGTTGCGAATCGTGGGACGAGGAGCCTAAGCGATGCGCATTTTGATGCGCCGATGCAACCGATGTAGCGGCTGCTGCGCGGTGAATTGTGGGCTCTGTCGCGAGTGCCAGGACAAGCCCGCTTTCGGTGGGAAGGGTATCAGAAAGAAGCTGTGCCGTGCACGCAGGTGCCAAAATCCCCAGAGCGCCAAGGCTGCCGCGGCCAAGGCTGCCACCGTCTCGCGCACAGCGGACCTGTTGGAGCTGATGCTTCCAGGCGGGAGGCAGGAGCTCGTTGATCGCGAGTTTGCAGCACCCGCCCTTCCGACCGCCACCGCCGTCGCCGCCACCCATGCCGTCGGGGGCTCGGTTGCCTCTTCTTCGCCCCCCTCGCCGACGTCAGCAGAGCTCCTGGAGCGGGCGCGAGCGCAGCTGGTGCCGCTCGGAAGCCGGGGCGTGCCGACCAACGACGCGACCCCGTCGTTCTGCGCCCTCTCTTCCCCGAACTGCGACTTCGCCGTGACCGCCGGGACTCCCGAGGCTCGCGACACCACCTCGGAGGCTCTGCGCGTCCTCGCTGCCTTGTGCGATCCTCACGCCGACACCGATGCCAGCGGCGGCAGCAGCGGCGGCGGCGGCGAGGAGGGCGGCGGCGGCGGCGAGGAGGGCGGCGCGGGTGAATGCCGAGGCGACTATGGGGAAGCATCGGACCGGTGGGATCGCGGCCCGCAGCCTGAGGATGAGATGGAGGAGCTCCTCGGCGAGCTGCTCTCCTCGCTGGAATCCGACGACCTGTTGTCGCAGCCCTCGGTCTCGCCCTCCACCTCGCTGGGAGATGCTGCTTCTACTACTACTACGTCCTCTACTACGACTACTGCTGCTACTACGACCTCCTCGCCGGGAGAATCGACTCGTCCCGTCTCGTCCCTCACTCCGCTGCAAGCCAGCTGCCACCGGATCGGCTCCCTGATCGAGCTTGAGTTCCGATCCCTCGCTGCCGGCGCGGACTTGCCTCGCGAGCAGCAGCTGCGCCTCTTCGGCGCCGCCGCCGCCGATCGCAGTGCGGTGCTCCTCCGCCTCCAGGCAGTCCTCCACGCCATGGTCTCCAATCTCGCCACCTCTTCCGCCGGGAGCAACGATCCCGCAGCAGTGGCTGCAGTGCTGCGCATCGTCACGGCCGCAGAGGTGACACTAGCGGACGGCAGCGACTTGCCCGTCCCCCCGCCGCTTCTCCCTGCGTTGGCGGCCGCAATGCGCGCGGCGGCGGCTCGGCAATCTGCCCTGGCGCCAGTGCCTTCGCCGCTTCCGTCGCCTCCCGAGCCGACCCTGGCCAACAGCCCCCTCACAAAGAGCCCACTGCTGTCGCTGCCTAGGAGGAAGCCTCGGACCGGCAGGCTTGCGACGCCGGGTTACTTGGTGGCCGCTCTGGGCCGGCGCGTCGGCGGCTCGGTGCGGTTCTGGGCACGCCACAGGCTTCTTGGGCAAGGCTTGCCGTTGCCGGGAGGGGGCGTCTGTGGGTATTCTGCGACGCCCGAGAGGGTGCAGGCTGGCGCGCTGTGCATCTTTTGGTGCCAGATCTTGTTGCTGCGCGCGGCGGAGGAGCGGGGCTTCTTGACCGAGACAGCAGACGGGTGTGGGCTCGCTTTCCCCCCCCTGAAACTCCCCCTGAAACCCCAGCCCGCGCTCGCGCACCCGCCCCGCCCACGCCCCCACTTAAGTCCCACCCTGACTCCACCCCTCTCCTGTGTCGCTTGCGCCCGCCTCCGCCTCTCAATCTGCGTGAAGCCTCCCCCCGCGTTGAGAGGCGTCGCGAATCAACGTGTCCTGCTCTCTGGCTGCGCCGCAGGTGGACGCCTTTGGGGGACGGCGAGGGGTCCAACCTCATCGCTTCCGTCTCCACCCTCGCCGTGGTACTCTTGGGCGGGAACTTCTTCCGCGTGGCGTTCGGCATGCGCGCGGCCGCGCGACGCGCGCGCTTCCTGGCAAGGGCGCAGCTCTTCACTTGGGGCGTGTGGACTTGCACGAATGTCGCGCGGCTGCTCAAGGCCTTCCTTCGGCAAGAGGAGGAGCTGCTAGAGGACATCGAGAGCGTGCTGGGCGCCATGTGCGTGCGGCCGCGGCCCTGCCCTGGTACTCCCCGCTCATTTACGGTTTGCACCGTGGCCCGGCATGATAGGTGCAGCGACCAGGGTGAGAGCGCGCTTCAGCAGTCCGTCCTAATCGAGCTCGGCCTCCTCAGTCCACTCCTCGGCCGCTCCCTCCGGATCCCCGCCGGTTTCATGCTTGCCAACATTGGCCTCACTCTCATGTCCGCGGGACGCCTCGGCTGGCTCTTCCCCTCCCACTCCTACCCGACTCGCATGGCCCACTGCTTGATCGCGCCCTACATTGGCTCGTTCGTGGCCAGTGCGCTGCTTCTCTGCGCCACCGGGGTCCTGCCTTGGCGGGCGCGCGCGGGGGGGGGGAGTCGCTAGGCTCGCCACGAGGTCCGCACAGAGCAACTTGAAGCCGGGTGCACATTGCAGAGAGTCAAGAAAGCTACCCTGAACGCACAGAACTCGTACGAAAAATCAGAAGGGGGCGGAAGCCGCGGAATATGGGTGCCTAACGTTAATTTGGGGCGCCTAAGCCCTAAACAGTTGTTGTGGCTGAAATCCTCAACGTTGTTCGAGTGTTCGCCCCAGCCGCCAGCCCCATGGCCATGCTGTTACTGTTTGTTACACTGTTGTTACTAGATTGTTGTTCAGGACAGCGGCCAGCAAGCAGAAAATGGCAATAAAAACCAAAAAAAATCCCGGGTATTTTCGGGTATTACACGCGGGCACTCGCACTGAACACTAGAGATCGTCGTGGGTCACTGCCAGGCCACCGGGGGCCATCCTTACTGTTGTTCAGACTTCAGTCGGCCTGACGGTATACTTTTCTTTGTTTGTGTTTACATAAACGTTGTGTGTGTGAGAGAGATTTCTTGTGTGTGTGTGTGTGTGGAGCACAGACCTTGCTTGTTTGTTAATTTGAGAAGAAAATACGCATCTACCCCCGGGGCTAGGGCTCTCTTGCCCGCAACCCGATGCCAATCATCCGGCCCGCTGGGTGCGCTTCTGAGCTCCCCGGCCCTGGATGTGCGGTTGATGACTGCACTCCAAGTGCTCCAAGTGCATCTGCACGCTGGTCTCCCCCTATAGCTATCTAGTGCGCCGGTCCCGTGCTCAGTGTTGTTTCTTTATTGTGAGGTGAGTCGCGTCCCTCGCGGAATTTCCGCGCGGCTTTCCCTTCCTTCCTCCTCGGATCTTCTCTCACACCTTGCTAAAATAAAAACCCCATTCGCCTTTCTAGACACGGTCAGCGAACACCTCGGCCAAGAACACCTGCACCCCCATCTTCTTGAAAAGAGGCGCCCATGTTCTTTATATAAAATGAACTCGGGGGCACGGGACGCGGCACAAAAGGGGCACAAACGCCAGGCTACAAAGACGGGGAGGCACGTAGTGACGCAGGGGAGTCTAGGCGACGGCGGCGTCCTCCGACGCCGCGGCGAGCCTGAGCTCGGTCGCAATCTCTTCCGCCGCCGCGAGCTGCAGCGCGACTGACATGCGCTGGGCCTGCAGCGACCATGTTCTTCATCCTCGCGAGCATCGCCGCCGTGACCACCACAGACCATAGCATCTCGAGCCCAACATGCACACTGGCGGGAGGGTAGAATTGGCCGTTCGT